TCTCCCCACAGCAGAGAACCCTCCATCCTGGCTCCAGAGACCTCACAGGGTTTTCCAGAGACCCCACAGAGGTACTTCACAGAGGTCCCAAAGAGACTCTCACAGAGACCCCACACCCATCTTCCTTCCAAGGCATCTGCAACCACGCAGCCAACCGGAAGCACAAGAGGGACACAACCAGCCTTGTGCTGCCCCCAGACCCCGAGACACTGAACACTGTCAACATGGCCTCCCAGATGGCGTTCCCGGCCTGGGAAAACCTCAGGACCTTCCGTTCCTCTGTGATGCCGTTGCCTCTGAACAGAAGAACTGCAGGTTCCAAGTGTGGACCTGAGAAATTCCTCCCTCTGCAGGTTCACAGGAGCCTCAGCTCTGACCCACAGTCAGAGAATCACAGATTTTAAACTCCTTCAGTGATACAGATCATCTTCTTTGTCCAGCTTTGGTTATTCACAAGTCAAATGTATCAGTGTCACATTGTATTTCACTGGAGATAAGAACTGAATTCAAGATGGTTGGCCACTTTGGAAACACAATAAAGACCTGTAACAAATGGATTCTAAAAATAAACCAGCAACCAGGCACCAGGACTGACTCCAACTCCCAGGGAGCCTCCAACTGGCACATTTTCCTGTACCTAACAGGTAGTGTCAAGTTTGGAGAATCTGCTTTATCTTCAAGTGAAACAAGAACCATGGAAAGAATTTTTACAAATAAGATTTCTGGCAATATTCTTATTTTATCCTCTGGGAAGGCTATATTTAATCCTTTGTAGTTATAATGTTTTGTTCCTTAAAATATGGTAAAACCCTCAGATGATATCACACATTTCTAAAACAAAAGTATTAATGTTCAGTGAACATAGCTTAAACTGATGAACTAAATAGACAATTTCACTTTGAAAAGAATTCAAAGAGATGAACATTTTCTAAGACTCAGGCAGCCAAGTTCTGCTATATATTCATTATAGGGCTGAAAAGGACACATTGCTTCAAACAGTTTAGAATCCTTCAAAATATATCAGTCTATGTTTGAGATACACATGGAACCTAATGAAACTAGTACTGAGGAATATTTAAACACCCAAATTGAGAAAATTGTATATTTAATCATATTTATATTAGAATAACCATAATGAAAAATCTCATTTATTTAAACCTCAGCTCCAAAAGATGCAATTGGTAAGACTCAAACCTCTTACCACTCATGAGCAACCCACTGTTCTCGTCTCATTTATTTTAAAGACATCTGTCAAGCATGTCACTGGTCCGGTCTCTCAGACTATCCATCATGACAAAAACATCACACTCCTTTCATTAAAAAGAGCAGAGCTGTCGCAACGCTCTTTAAGTCGGTTTCAACAAGAAATCCCCTTCAACATAATTACAAAGTTATACCTATTAATTTTCTACTGTACTCCCTTATAATGTCATCAAATCACAAAATGAAGCAATATGATCATGAATGTCCTCTAGTACTCTCGATTGGACGATTTGGTTTTTTATAGTGAAACTATACAGGGTAAGTTTAGGTTATCAGATCAACAGGAAACAAATTAGGAAAGATTCTATACAGAAAATATTTTACCAAGAATACTGTATGCTTTTCAAATTTTTTTTTAGAGAAAGAGAGAGAGAATTTTAATATTTATTTTTTAGTTTTTTTCGGCAGACATAACATCTTTGTTTGTATGTGGTGCTGAGGATCGAACCCGGGCCGCATGCATGGCAGGCAAGCGCACTACCGCTTGAGCCACATCCCTAGCCCCTCAAATTTATTTTTAACAGGGTTAAATTAAGTAATTACTCCTCAGTCTTTAGAGGCACTTGTAAAGCCTGAACACAGACAAACGTTCATAATAAATAGTTAATTACTATGACATTCTGAATGTGTTGTCCCTCAGTAGCAACTCATAGTTTAATTAGTTGTGCAAAACAACAGAGAACAGTTTGCAATAAAACAATATTCTCATCCATCACTGCATATGCATCTGTCACAAGTCATACCGATGATCTGTGTCCAGTTTTCACAGCAGAAACCCAGAACTTTATCCAGAAGAAGTAAACCAGGGGATTCAATCCATTACAAAGACATTTACAGTACAGACTTTATAGCCATCTGTATTTTATTTTCATAAAATTTACCTACTGTAAACCTTATAAATATTTTAGTATTTTTATACATACCAAGAAATAGATAACCAAAAAGTTAGGATTTGGAGAAAAAACAAAAATATATCTCATTTGTTTTCAAATTTTTTCACATCAAAACATTTTGCTGCAAATAATTTGTTTTATTTTGCAGTAACTAGAGAATGAATCCAGGGACTAGGACAAGCAAGTGCTCTACCACTGAGTTACAGCCCAAGCCCCTTTTTAATTCCATTTTGAGACAGGATCTTGCTAAATTGCATAGGCTGCTTCCAACTTGCAATCATTCTCGCTCAGACTCCTGAGTAGCTGGGACTACAGGGGTGTACCACCATGCCCAGCTTGAAGTGACTTCTTAAATCCACAGAGGAAAGACTCTCTAAATGACATTCAGAATCTACTGCAAATTCAGTTTTGAAATAGACGTTTATTTAACACAGGGTTCACACTGACTTCAACAAATCAGCACTCCAGAAGACAATGTGGAGTGGTAAAACATGTGATGCCTTCTTCATGCTCCAAGAGAAAAAGCCCTTTTGCAAATAAGCAAAACCAAACCCAAACAAAAACAGGGAGGCATTCTACATTGTGATCTCTAGGAGCAATTCCCCTTCATAGACTACAACGCTGTTGACAGTGTCAAGCACTTTGACTGTATATAACGCCCACAGGAAGAAGTTTCTCCAAGCTTTCCCAGACACAGCTACGCTTTCTGTCCTTCTCATCACCTTCACAGTACGACACACCCAGCTCCAGAGAGTCCCATTGGCTTCCCCTGTGTTCTCTAAAATTGGTCATATTAACAACCATTCTTGTAACACCATCAATTGCTAGAATTATTTCTGGGCCCATGTGGATGGCTGCATTATCCAAACAGATGCAGGCCTCTGTGATTACTCAGAGGTCTGCTAGGGCGCCCCTCCCTGGGCTGGGGTATCCTGATCAGAACACCCCTCTCCCCATAAACACGTGGCCCATGCTTCTCACTCCCATGGAATCACAGTTATGCAAACCACACAGGTGAAACTAATGTCCGGAAATCTATAAAATAATGCTGTGCCAGCCAGTGAATGGGGATTGGAAAATGCTAAGCTCTCTCTAGGGAACATGGCTGGCTGACAGCCCTGCAGTCTGCTCATTTTTGTGCATTAGCTTTTCTCACCCTCATTCACTCTCATTATATCTGCAGCTCTTCTTTCCCTTCTTTGTCCAGTACTGGAAACTGCTGCCACCTGCTCCCTCATGTTGTCACAATCTCTACCATTTTATGCCAATAACCACTTGACCACACAGATGTCTCTCAGCTCAGGAATCCTACTGAAACTTTGCAAGAAAGACTATCCAACCACCCTTCTATATTCCTGCCGTAATCTGTTGCTAAGAACACTTTACATACCTATCTCCAACATCAAGAAAAACTTCATAAGGTGCACAAATTTCTTTTGTATGCTGTGGTCCCTGGAGTGAAACTTTCCACATTCTAGGTCTATGACTTAGTCAAGTCACTCAGTGTCTCCAAATATCACTTCCTAAAATGAGAATGAAAGTTAATAATATTGTAGTGAAAAGGAAATGAGTTATGATATTAAAACACTTTGCATAATTCTTACTGGATGATTTTGATATCATCATTGTTTTTATTTTTACTGCATGATTGCCAACTTGACATTTACTTGTTGAATAAAGTACACACAATTGTGGTATATTGTGTTTCCAGAATTAACCAATTCATTTTCTAGCACAAAAGCTAACATTTAATACACACTAGAGATTTACAGTTCTGAGGAAAAAAGCAATATTCTTCTTTCAAGTAATTTTTCAAATCTCTTTTTTGAACATAGTATTTTGTGGGTTTCTATTAATTCACTTTGGCGTTAAAGGACTATTTTCTCTAATCCCAGTTACTGCTGCTTTGACTGTGAACAAGCTGCACTCATGGACATCTTCACAAAACTGACTTTGTTGTCCCCACACTGCGTAGGCACACCTGCTTCAGCCCTTGGTTGAAGTCTAGGGACCCCAAGGCTTACCTGCTCCACTGGTTCTCTCCAGAGGCAGAATGAGGTCTGGTTGCAGTAATTACTCTGTCAGTCTCAGGTTCATAGTCAAAACAGGACACTGCATGAAACACGAAATTTCTCTCTCAGAAACAGCCAGGCTTGCTGGAATCCTGAATTGCCAGGCCAGGAAGCCGCAGGTAGACTTCTCCCTTTGCATTTGGTACACTTACCTCTTCCACCAGATGGGCCTAGTGATCTTGTCTCTGACCACTTCAAGTCCAGCATCTACCCTGGAGTGAAAGAGCCAGAAAATATCACTTGGTGGGTGTTGCCCTTCCCTGTGCCCACAAGGATTCTATCTGGATTAAACATGAGTTCAGAGGGGACTCCTCCATGGGCATTCCCTGGGGATTCCTGGGCCTGGCTCCTGTACTTCCCCTGGCTGGTCCTCACCGTTTTCCCCTGGACCCTTGCTGTCACCCTCTCTACCTACCCAGGGCTCTGCTGTGGTCTAACTTTTGCCCTGTGGGGGGAAAGCAGTCACTCACAAGGCAGCTTCGTCTGTGTTTCTGGGTACACCTGGATGGCGCAAAGATGATCAGAAAATAGTGTCTGAGTTCCCCCAAATGCCAGAAGGAACGCAGGCAGGTTCGCACAGCTGGTTCCTAGATGGGAATTGTTTAAAAAAAAAAAAAATTACAAAACTTAATTCAGCAGAGCTTGCCTAAAGAAAGAAAAGAAAAAGGTTCCAGCACCAGGGTGCACTTGACATCACAGACGGTTAACCCCGCCACCTGCGCAGAGCGCCCTCACGGCCGAGAAAAGGAAGCGCCAAGCTGAAGCCACCTGGTTGGCTGCTGTCGGCTTCGGACCCTGTGCGCATGGTCAGATCAGCCCACAGCACGTGGTTGACCAAGCTGCGCTGCTGTGATTGGCAGAGACTCAGTTGCTCGGTGACAAGCGAATGCCTATCAATTAATTGGGTTTCAGTTTATTTGCATAGCAAGCTAGGTTACAGTGCACTAGGTACGGAGGCCCCTTTGGGACATCCTTCATGCAAGTATGGAGACAGGTTTAGGACAAAATTATTTTAGTTTAACAATTAGTCCCATTTTGTTCATATTTTCAGATCTTGCCTGAGAGACCAAAACCATGAATGTGGACGGTGACACTATCTTCTACAATCTTCAAAATGGATCTGCTTGATTTCCGTACAGACTTCACAATTTCACAATGTCTAGCTAGGTAGATGAGCCGGGCATAGTGGTGCAGGCCTATAATCCTGGCCAGTCAGGAATCTGAGGCAGGAGGATGGCAAGTTCGAGGCCAGCCTCAGCAACTTAGAGACTGGAGGCAACCTCCTGAGACACTAATAAAAATTAAAAATAAATAGACTGGGGATGTGGCACCCCCCTGGGTTCCATCTCCAGAACCCCAAGCCCCCACAAAAATGTGAGTTTGCTTGTAGGTTTGATGCCTACTGTATACAACAAGACCCCTGCCGGCCCAGGACAGCAGTGTGTGAGCACTTCAACTTGAGCACACAACAGGTCCTCGCAGCCTGGGGACTGTCCTGCCTGAGTCTCACCCTTAGGAGAAAATATGGGACACAGCCCATTCACACTTGGCCCGGGCCTCCTATCCCATAATCATCATGTAGAATCCAGCCTTTTACAACAAGGAACTATTTTCTAAATCTCTGTCGTATGCCTATGATTTTAAATGAAAAAAAAAAAAAGAATAAAACTAGTAAAATAAAATCAAATTTGTATTTTAAAAATCTCATTAATCTGCTTGATACAAATTGACTTTTAGCTTTTAATTCAGTAAGAACAGGTAATAAATGGCACAGACATTAATGTGAGAAAATAATTGTTTTGGCAAAAAACAGTGGAATAACTGTTATTAGAAATGCTCTGGATAAGTATTGTTTCAGATTTCAGAATTTTCAGATTGTGGAATATTTCCACAGATTTTACCAGTTGAACATCCCTAATTCAAAAATCTGATAGTTACAAAGTTCCAAAATCTAAAATTTTTTGAGGATACTATAATGTTCACAAAATATCACATTTCGGATCATTTTCTATTTTTGTTTTCAGATTGGGAACACTTAACCTGCATGTAAATTAGGGCATATGAGCACTTGATTAATTTTGTCTTAATTTTTATGGATTTGAACTCCAAAGAGCTCTTGGCTCTGTCTGTCTCTCTAGTTTGTTCATAAAATAGAATGTGAAAGATCCACCAGAATGCAATGTACAATATCGTTAGCAAATCCCAGACTTTGACCCTAGAGGAACATGTGCAGGTGGAAACCTCATGAAGAGCAGAAGGGAGGCAGCTGAGCGAACCCCTGGGGTCATCTGCTCACCGTGGTTTTAAAAGGCAGAAAGAGCAAACAGGAGGGGCGAACCCCTGGTACAGTCAGCAATGCTGCAACAGTAGCCCCCCAGAAGGTGAGGCTCAGTGGTGGCACTTGACAGAAAATCCATTTGAGGGACATTTTCTCTGTACTGGACTTTGGAATGGAGCCAGAGATTTCACCCTTATTGAAGTGTTTCCTTTCTTTCCAGGGAGGGACATTTCACACACACACCCCTGTCCCCTTTGTGAAGCAGCAGCTTCTCTTTTGGGTCCCCTCTGTCTGTCATCAAATACATCAAGGGCACCTGTGCAGTGCTGGCCCTCCCTGGGTGTGGGCGACACTCAACATCTCCCAAAGGGCAGGGGGAGTCCTTGCTCAGCTCTCATTGGCTTGAGGGACTTTTGTGCTAAGGTGTTAACAACAAGCTCAGGAGAGTGCTCTTGGGTATCTGGACTCTAGAGACGTGGTTTGTAGCTCTTTGTCCATTAATATAATTCACAAGGATGCATACTGTAGAAATGATGCTTTAGCTCCTCCCTGAGCCGAGATTTTATTTTATTATTTTTGGAGGAGCCAGATTTTAAATATTTATTTTTACTATAATTATTATCACATAATAATTGTACAAAGAAATAGAATCACTGTGGTATTTTCACACATGCGTACATTGCCCTCAAACCACCTCCCCCAGCATCTTTTCCAACCCCTAGAAATCCCTTTTCTACTTTCAATACTTTTTTTTAATTTTCACATTTGAGAAAAAACATACAAGACTTGTCTTTTTGTCTTTCTGTGTCATTTTGTTTAACACAGTATCCCCAGTTCCATCCATTTTGCTGCAAATGACAGAATTTAATTCTTCTTTATGATTAAATAATAGTCTGTCATATGTATATATTATATGCATACATACACTATATAAAATATGTATGTATATACAATTATACATACACATACACCTATATATGTGTACATGTATACATACATACCTGCACACATACACACACATATATGTAGTCATTTTTTTATCCATTCCCCTGCTGATGAACACCTAGGTTGATTCTTTATCGAAGCTATTTTGAACAGTGCCACAATAATCATAGATATCCAGATATCTCTATATAATGACTTAATTTCCTTTAGATAAATACTCAGTTTGGGGATAGCTGAGTCATATGAAAGTTCTATTTTCAAGTTTTTAGCAAGCCTCCAAGCTGTTTCCAAAGTGGGTATATAAATTACATTCCCACAAAAGGTATATAAGCGTTACTTTTTCTCCATATTTTAGTCAGTATTTGTTAATTTTGTTATAATATTCTAGCCTGGATAAAATGAAATCTCATAATTTTGATTTGCATTTTCCTGATGGTGAAAGATACTGAGCATTTATTTCCTCATATATTTATTGGCCATTTGTATTTCTTTATATATTTATATTTATATATTTGTAGTTCTTTATATATTCTGAATGTCATTTGCTGGCAAAGATTTTCTCCCTCTCTGATGGTTGTCTTCACTCTGTTGATTGCCTCCTTTGCTTGCAGTTTCTCAAGTAAAGTACTCCCATTTGTCATTGTTTTCGCCTTTTTTATTGTGTTGTTGTTGTAGCTTTTGAGGTCCTAACCAGGAAATTGCTGACTGTGGCAAAATTTCAGAGTTTCCGCAACATTTTCCCCCAGCAGTTTCAGAGTTTTAGGTCTTACATAAAGTCTTTGATGAATTTTGAATTTATTTTTGGACAGGGTAAGAAACAGAGGTCAAACTTCAATCTTCTGCATGTGATTATCCAGTTTTTTTAGCACTGTATGTCGAAGCGACTGTCCTTTCTCCAAGATATGTGTTTGGCACCTTTATTGAGAAGCAGTTGGCTATAAATACGTGGGTTTATTTCTGGTTTCTCTATTCCGTCTCATGGGTCTGTGTGTCTGTGTTAAGGCCAATACCATGCTCTTGGTCCCTATGGCTATTGTCATATGTCTTGGGATATCTCCATCTTAGGGCAAGGTGCATTGTTCCTGGTGGGTTATAAATCTGTATTTCAGACGTCTTGTCAGCAATATCTGATTTCTTGTGGGTGTGATTAGTTTGCTATTAGTTTTACCAGCCAACTGGCAGATGAAGTGCTATGCAAGGATCAAGACTGTGGGTACCACCACGTTCTCCTTACTCCCTGGCCCTGCTTTGTGATTCTAGCACCTTAAGTCTACAGGTCCTTGATAAGTACCTTCTGAAGCCACATGCCAACTCTGTGAAAGTTTCTTGGCTTTAATTAGGCAATGTCATTGGCAAGTCCCCATAGAGGGCATCCACAGCCAGGATTCATCGCCATAGGCTGAGAGGGGATGATTGACAGAAAGTCTACCCACAGCCCCTCTACGTGGGAGACAACCCTTTCCTGGAGACCCCCAGGATCCACAGGGACCTGGTCTTCCAGCTTCTGTGGGAAGAACCAAGTCCGCTCATCCTCTCAAACTCACTTGACTCATGTCCCATCAACCCACTGGCCAGCTCCTTCTCATGCTAACCAGTGGACATGAGGAAACTCTCCCCACCTCTCAGCTTCTAGCAGCCTTTCTACTGCCTAGAGACCCTGTTCTCCAAGAAGCACCCACCTGGGGTTACACAACCAGCCAGGATGCAGCCCTTCCTTGCCCTCCCCTGGACACAGACTTGGACACTACACTGCCCTATCTGCAGCCAGAATATTCTACAACTGAATAGCCTATTGGTTGATTTTGTTCAGTCTTCATATCACTAATTTCTTACATGCAGAGGGAAAAAGATTTGTCAATAGTTACTATTAAACTAAAATTCCTGAGACGAAGGATATCTTAAGGAAAAGGGTTATAGAGCCATTACAGAGGCTATCAAGAAAAAGGACCAGATCCTGGCACAGGGTCCACATCAGCAAGGCCGTATTGCAATTTTAACAATGTTCACTGGACCAAAGAGCCAAGTGTGTGTTTATAATGAAACTTTGAGGAAGGAAAACCAATCATTCACCTTGAACCTCCATTGGCTCTAGATTAGGGGGTGGGATACTATGAATCATAGAAAGCTTTGGGATAAGAGGACAGAGCAGAAGGAGAAGTGCTAACTGCTTCTGGATTGGTCAGTGTTAATGGTCCACGGAGTTTTCACATGAACAGGGCATGCTATGCCTGCTGGTCAGCCATGGGATTTAAGTCAGGATTCCAACATACATGCAGGAATGTGCAAACCCAAAGATGTATTGATCAATTTTCCTTAGTTCCCCACCCCACTGATTTTTGTGACTAAAGTTAAGAAACTTCAGAATTTTTTTCTTATCAATATAATAATGGATAAAAACCTAAGCTAAGTTTTGTTAGCTTCCTTTTAGTGAAATATGCAAAGATTCAAATTATTGAACAAGATTCAATGTTGTCTTTTCTACACACATTGACTTATACATCTAATACAATCTTTTTTTTTTTAGAAACAGAGAGAGAGAGGGAAAATTTTAATATGTATTTTTTAGTTTTCGGTAGACACAACATCTTTATTTTATTTATATGTGGTGCTGAGGATCGAACTCGACGCCGCGCACATGCCAGGCCAGCATGCTACTCTTTGAGCCACATCTCCAGCCCATCTAATACAATCTTGATCAAAATCCCAGCAGGCTTTTTTTTTTTTTGGTAGAAATAAACAAACTGATTGTAAAATGCATATGGGAATTCAAGTGACCTAGAATATCCAAAATGATTTTGTAGGAGAACTAAGGATCTATATTACCTGATCTCAGGGATGAAAGGATGATTAAAGCTACAGGAATCAGGGTAGTGGGGTATCAGCATGGAGGTTGGCAGACAGACCAGAGGAACTGAAGAGGGAACTCAGAAACAGATCCACAGACAAATGGTCATCTGATTTCCCAAAAAGATTCTGAGATGATTTAATGGGGAATGAATGGTTTTTGAACAGACAACAATAGAATAACTAACTATCCAAATATAAAAATAACGACCTACAAACTTCCTCTCCCATCACGTGTGTAAGAGGTTGGATTGTGATCCCCCAAGGCTAATCTAAGTCGTGGGCTCCAGTACCAGCAAAAGAGACCTGGTGCTGGGATAAAGGGTCTTTGCAGAGGTAATAAAATCAGGACTTTCAAATGAGATGGTCAGGGGGAGGCTGTGTATCCCATGACAAGGGTCTTTACAAGCTGAGGAGGAGACACAGACAAGAGAGGAGAGACTCAGAGAAGCCTGGAAAGAAGAGAGTGGAGCCTGTAGTTGTGCTGCCACAAGTCAGAGAACTCCCGCAGCCCAGGAGCCGGAGGGGTCAGGAGGACTGAGGGAGCAGGGCCCTGGCAACACCCTGATCCAGGCTTTGGGCCTCTGGGACTGCAGGGAGTAGGTGTCTGCTGTTAGGGGCCATGTGTTACAGCCTCCCCAGGAACCTGCAGAACACACAGAAACCAGTTGGAAAGCTTGACAGGCCTAAATTGAATCTAGGGCTATAATCTAACCTAACGCTACGAAGCTCACAGAATGAAACAGGGAAAAGTCCTCAGGACCTTAGTTGAGGTGAGCAGTGGCTTTTTTTTTTTTTTTTTAATGAAACAGAAAAAAATGTTAACCATTAGAGAAAACCAAATGAATTAAAACGATTTCATTTTAAAAAGACACTACTAGGGAGCTACTGAGGAGAGCAGGAGGAGGTGGCGGCTGGGGGAGACGCTTCTCTTTGGCTTAAATTGCCATCCATTAGGGATCATTTCTCAGACCCACGTTAGAAATGAGAATTCAGTTAAGTGAGGCCGCCATTGCCGCTTTGAGCACCTCAAGGGGAGAATGCATTTATCAGGAGTGAAAAGAAGAGCTTGCCAGAGTCAGGGAAAATAAGAAAAAGCTCAGCGCTAGGGCCCCTTCTCCTAGGGATAACTGGAAAGACCACGGGACCACCTACTAAGGGGTCAAGCAAGAAGGACAGGGCAGGGGTAAGGCTCGGAGAGACGCGGGGCTTGCAATGGAAGCAGCAGCGCCAGGTCTCGGTCCAGCTCCACCTTCAGCTCGGGATCCAGCGCCAGCACAGGCTCAGGCGGGGCTCCAGCTCCTCCTCCGCAGCAGGCTGCTCCAGAGCTCCCGCACGTCGGGCTGCTGGTCCCGCGGCAGCTCGGGTCTCCCAGACCTGCGAGGCGCAGACGGGACAGCAGGCGGCGCTCAGGCTCCAAACCCAAACCCAAGGCGGAGCCCTTCCCCTAAGCCCACCAAAGTGCATGCGGAAAGGCTCATCGGGAACGTGACCAAGGATCGCGTCGTGGAGGTAGTCTCCACTTATGGGAAAATTAAAATGGTCAACGTGCCTGCAGAAAAGTCGCGTCCTTACCTGTTCAAAGGCCCCGCCTAGGTGGAGCTGCAGAGTCCAGGGGAGCTGAGAAGGCGCTGCAGCGCGTGCATGGAGGACAAATCAACGACCAGGAGATCACTGCTACCCGGTGCTGGGCCCTGGCCGAGGCCACCCCCACACCCTCCCCCTCCCCCGGCTAGTCAGCCTTCCCCAGAAAATGCTGCAGCCACCGCCAGTGGCCTAGGTCACTCCCATGGATGAGGAGGGGGTCACCCATGCGCAGGTGGTCCAGCTCTCCCGCTGCCGCCCCCAAAGAAGCCGCTCCAGTTCCAGCTCCTCCCCATACACAGAGCCTCGGGAGCTCATCTATACCTGTTCCACCCAGCTCAGTTGTGTCACTTTTCTAGCCACAGGACGGTCAGCAGGAAAGCTGACCCCCCCCCGCCCCCCGCACTGGGGCAGGCGTCAAAGGCAGCAGTGAGGCCTTTCCTCTGCAGGCAGGTTCTGGCTGCAGAAGTGCTGATGGATCAGGGCGGGGCCCATCGAGGGGCCTGCAGTTTTCTGGCTAAAAGTCTCACCCATGCCTGTTCCAAAGTCTGTTCCGTGGCAGAGCCTGCAGGGACCAGCAGGCTTCCAGGTGGCAGTGTGGCCCCGTCTCTTTACAGAAGACCTGGGCCAGTCTGCAAACCCGGTTGTGCCCTTGCTGTGCCCTTGCTGTTGCTATGCTAGGTCCTCAGGAAAGGGGACCAAGCTGCTGCTCCTGTGAGGCCTGGCCTTTTTCACCCCCGCTTGAGCTCTCTTCCAGCCTCTAGGGGGGTTAGTTGCTATAAATGGTTCTGTCTTTCCATGTCCTCCCACACCCCACTGCCCTTTACTCTCTGAAATTGCTGATCAAGTTGAGAGCCAGCTCTGTGAGGTTATTACAGTTCTGGCTGCCACTCACGGTGGTCCTGCAGGATACCTTGGCTACATGCACATTGCTTCTCTCTCTCTCTCTCTCTCTCTCTCTCTCTTATTGTAGACAGTACTATAAAATTTATTTTGAGTTTTGTAACTTTGTTGCATTTTAGACAAGATTGGGTTTATACTTTGTTGTGTAGAGTGGTAAAAATGTATTGAATAAACCTAGGATTAGAATGAAAAAAAATAAAAAATACTCCTAGGAAAGTAAAAGAAAGCCAATAATGGGGAGAAACATTTCACAATACAGATATCTGACATATCTGAGCTCATATCTACATGTACAAAGCAAACTTACCTTTGTAATAACAAATCTAATTAAAAATTAGGTAAATTATTTAAATAAACATTTATTTACATAAATAAATTTTGGGAACGTGAAACCAGGTTTGAACTCAGGGGCACTTGACCTCTGAGCCATATCCTCAGCCCTATTTCCTGTTTTAGTTAGAAACAGGGTCTCACTAAGTTGCTTTTGCTGAGGCTAGCTTTGAACTCAAAATTCCCCTGCCTCCCGAGCCACTGGGATTATAGGCGAGCACCACTATGCCCAGCTAAATAGACATATAAATTTTAAAAGATGATATATGAGTGGTCATTAAGCACATAAAAACACACTTAAGTCAATAAGCAAATGCAGATTAATGCTACAGTAAGATACGTCCACATGGTACTTATTAAAATAGGTCAAATTAAAAAGACAATACCAACTCATGGTAAAAATACGGAGTGACCAGAATTCTCACATTACATTAAAGTGGTATGACTACTTTGGAAAACAGTTTGGCGATTTCTCTCAAAAACATAAGCATGGAACTACCATATTATTCACTATCCTACACCTAGATATTTACCCAGGAGAAATGAAAGCATGCATTCATAAAAAGATGTGTGTGAGTAACAGAGTTAGAAGCCACTTTTGATAAAAGCACTGACTCTTCACTCTTTGGACTTTCAATGTCCAAAGAGTAACTACAAGTAGGATAAAGCTTGGCATCTCTGCGTTCTTTTAATATTTATTTTTTAGTTTTAGGCAGACACAATATCTTTATTTTATGTGGTACTGAGGATCGAACCCAGTGCCCCACACATGCCAGGTGAGTGTGCTACCACTTGAGCCACATCTCCAGCCCCAGCATCTCTGCTTTCAATTTGCATTTTATTATCTTAAACTTTGGACCAGGTCCCCATTCCGTTCTGCACAGAGTCTAGTTAATCACTCCAGGAGTAGAATACGAGTTAGATTCAGCAACCAAAAGCCCTACATTTGTCTAACCTACCTTGTCTCCCTTCAAGACTGAGGACACCAAGACAAGAGGAAGGCATTTCCAAGATTTTCAGGGACGTTCAACTGACAGCTTTTACAACTCCTGTTCCAGACGCCGTGAGTGGCTCCTATATGTATTCTGTCACTTCCCTAAATCTGCAGTCACTTTGGGTTCTAGGGACAGCAGAGCCTCACAGACAGACCATGTGTGATGAGATCATTCCAATAAATGGAGCAATTACCCCCCCATGGGAACTGAGGCTGCCTGTGAAGCAGGAGCCATCACCCCATGTGTACTGACTGCCCCCCTCAATGATAAGGACCACCTCATAGAACCAGTTCTGAGATAATGACCAATCAGGACATGACCTGAGCAAGATGAACTACGACTCTGCCATCTCTGAGAACCCCCATTCAAACCCCCAATACTTGATTTTGTTGCCTTTTTTATCAAACCTCCAGGTTTCTGTCAATGCCTTGAAGAAGACTTTATCCTTACACCTGTTCTTCGTGGTGTGGCCACACTGATTAAAACTGCTTTCCTGCCTTCACCACTGCCTGTGCCTTTGATTGGCATATTGGTGGCCCAGTCTGATCTGTTGGGTCACCCTGGGGCTAGGGTCTTCAAGAAACCCCAGTAACACATTCCTAGCAGCTTTATAAAGAGTCAAAATCAGGAGATGAGGCAGATATCCATCAAAGAAGACAGATTCACAACAATGAAATTAGATCCAGCAACCAAAAGGAGCAAACTACTGATGGATGCAATAGAATGGATATTCCTCAAACACAAAAAGCAGGAAGCACACGGAAGAAGATAAGCTGTGGGATTGCATTTATGCAATCACAAAATATATGTGGATTGCTGAAAAAGGCAAATCTGACTCATGGTACCAGAAAGCAAATCAGTGGTTACCAAGGACTGTGGGGAAGGTGGGGTTGTCTGCAGATGAGGCAGAAGGGAACCTTTTTGGGGTGATGAAAAGTTTTGCATCTTGATTCATGCGGTGTTTACGTGGCTGTGTGTATTTATCACTACTCAATGGGTGCATTTTGTTGTATGTGAATTTACCTCAAAGTAGTTGGTCTTTCAAGTGAAAGCAAGTTGAACCAGTGTCTGCACACTTCTGTGAGTTCTTTCAAGAATGAGAAGACAGTCTAGTTGGTGAACTAGCTGTGTGTAAATGAGTCTGCCCTTGAGAGACCTCAACAACCAATATGTCTGTAAGCGCCCAAGCCCTTCCTAGGCTGATTAAAACTGCTTTTTAAGGGGGTATCTGTCCTGAGCCAAGAAGGAGGATAGTAGTTTTGCAGAATTGAAAAAAGGAGAAGGTTTCAGAAAAAGACAGCCCTCCCTGAGGGTACAGAGACAAAGGCTGGGACCTTCAGTGGTCCCTGCTGCTCCCAGGCCTGGAGCAAGGCAGCACCGATTGTGATCCCCAAGTGATTGGCTGGTTAACAGATAGTCAGCTTATTAATGTAAGATGCAATCTCTGACCTCAGTCAGATGTCAGTAAACCTGGAGAAAGCATTTAACTTCAGGAAGGAAAGCATCACTCTGAAGAATGGGGTATTGGGCTGGGGTGGTGGCTCAGTGGTGGAGCGCTCGCCTAGCACCTGTGAGGCCCTGGGTTTGATCCTCGAACCGCATAGAAATAAACAAAATAAAGGTATTGTGTCCACCTACAATTTTAAAAATGTTTGGGAAAAGAATGGGGTATGGTCAGTACAAATCAACTGAGGTTAAAAGAAAAGAGAACAACCTGGCTGAGATAGTCCTAGAGGAAAAGTTGGAGCTAATGGATCTTTAAAAGGAAAAGTCCAGGATCGGGGAAGGGTCAGGACCTTCCTGCCAAAGGCCAGCTGAGGGAAGATTGAAGAGGCAAACGATGGGTCTGCAGAGGAGGTGAAATGTGGGGGACACAGAGAGGAGGGGAAGCCGGGGTCCAACCCGGAGGTGCCTGAAGGCCAGGCTGGGAAGGACTAGATCAGGCGGGCACTGGATAAAGGAAATACCTGCTCTGCTTTAATCAGCCCACTCTTTCAAAACACAAGCTACTCTCTATCGTGTGCAAGGTTCTGGGCCAGGCAGGGTGACAGAAGAGAGAGCCCCAGTCTAAGGAGTCGCATCCTCTGGAGAGAGAGCCACACAGCCAAGCCCAGGTCAGTGGCTGGGGCAGAGCTGGAATGTGCAGAATGTGGAAGGGAGAGGACGGGGTAGAACCAGGGCTGCTGGGTGCAGGCTGGGAAGGCTTCCCGGAGGAGGGGGTATCTGTCCTGAGCCAAGAAGGAGGATAGTAGTTTTGCAGAATTGAAAAAAGGAGAAGGTTTCAGAAAAGGACAGACTACAACGTATAAAGAAAAAGGTTTGAGGCTGGTTGGAAGAATGACAAGCAATTTCCAGAAGAGGAGACCTTCAATATGACTTCATAATAGAAACCTACTTTATGAAATAAAATAATTCAAGATGAGTTGAACATTTAGTATAGGCCCAGGATTAAATTTCCATCTAGTAGTCCCCCTTTATCCTTGTTTTTTGTAGTTTCAACTACAGTCCAAATACAGCATGTGGATACAAACACAGAAAAAAACAACAACTCATACACTTTGCATAATTCTTATAACTGTATGTGTATTATTATAATTGTTCTATATTATTACTATTATTATTATATTTGTTTTATTATTCTATTTTATTACCATTGTTATTTTCTTATTGTGCCTCATTCATAAATTAGACTTAATCCTAGGTATGTACTTGGAGGAAAAAACACAGTATATGTGGGGTTTGGTGGTACCTGTGATTTCAGACATCCACAAATGGTCTTGGAGTGCATCGCTGCAGATGCGGGATCACTGTATACCTCCTGAAACAAAGCTGGCATCTTTCTATTAATCTGAAAACAAGTACATGAGGGAGAAGCATCCTGAAATATAATGAGAAGCAGAAAAAAATGAAGAGCAAGCCTTTGTTTACCAGGAAAATGACCCACAGGGAGGCAGAAGAGAAGGGATTGAAGCTAGGGCTTGCAAAAATGTCCTTGTCCTCTCTGCAGCAGAAGAACAAACACAAACGCTGCCCAACAACGTGACAGGCCAAGCTACTCTGCTATAAAGCCATCAGCTTGGTTGTTGGCTGAATAAGGACAGCGATGCCTGAGCAGAGCTGGGATCAAAACCTCACACTCAAACCCTGAGAGCTTGTGGGCAGCTCAGTGGACACGAAGCCCTGCTGCATTTCTGGGCAACCACCTGCTGGGAGCCCACCTTCCTGCTCTGGCCGAGGCTCTGCTAGGGGGCTCTATCCACTTAACCACCGTCTTACCAGCTCCATGCTCAGAGCATGCCACTGCACCAGCCTGCAGAGCTGGGAGCCAAGCCATGGTCACGGAGCTGCCATGAACACAAGCACCACTGCATCCCGCCTGCTGGATGCTTCTCAGTTATCTCAATCTGCATATTGCCATATGACGTGTGACATCTGTCAAGAACTGACAGCCTGAGCATCTGTCAAGAACTGAGCAGCAGCCTGCACTTCTCTGATGGCTGGAAGCAACCTCTTCCCACTCCAGGATGAAGAGGGGAGGACCCCTGATGCTCACTCCTCCACCCAAGGACCGCAGGAGAGAGAAGGCTCCTTCATTCTCCAGCTGGAGTAGGAGGTTCCCGAGGACGACTGGCCATCCCAGTCTGCCCTCCAGGGGAGGGGCCACCTTAGTCTGGTAGGGAGGGGGAAGACAGGAAGGCGGGGCTGAGAGCAGCTCCATGGATCTGAGAATGAGGAAGGAGATGTAAAAGAATAATGGGAAAGGGGTTTGGGGTTTTCCTAGCAAGGAAAACTTGAGCAGCAGAACAGGTAGAGCAGAGGGGAAGACAGGAGTGAGTATCCCAAAAAGCCTGTGAGGGACTTTAATTCTGAGTAACCTGTTTTCAGTGATAACAAAGCAATTTTAAAGGCCATTTTTACTAGATCTTGGAGGGCTCTCCTCAGTTGGTTTGAGCTTTGGGTTCGCTGGTAAGAGGACCTGGTGGGACCCGGTGTGGGAGCTAACAGTAGAAGAGAGGAGTGAGTGGGTGGAGGGATTCCTTCAGTAACTGCTACCTCAGCAAGGGGGCAACGGTCTGAGGAAGGGCGGTGGTGTACATTTTTGATCTAGTAATTGGAGGGAGAAAGCAGGTTACTGAGGTGGGAGTGACGGTGGAGAGCCTGGGGCAAATGGCTGAGGGTGAGGACCTATTCCAGCCAGGCGATAGGGTGGAGGTTCATTAGCAGGGTCAAAAGTAGTGGATGAGTCCCGAGGAAGAGAAAGTTGGGGATCGTGGTTGGGGGAGTTGGTTTGCAAGCTGGAAGAACTTGTAGAGGTTTGCAAGAGGTGCAGAGAGCAGGATTGGATCAGAGCAAGAAGAAAGTGATCTTTTCCCATTTTTTCGAACGCTCACAGTAATTGTAGAGATCCCTCAGAATGGAGGGACCCAGGGACCCAAAAGGGGACCATCTGCTTTGGTTGTCTAAGGGATAAGTGGGTCAGGCCTCGGTGCTATATTTGATCAATTTTTGGGGTTTGATGTCAGATGTCAAGGAGAGGGTTTTGAAGTTATCCAAGAGGCATTGTAGGGTCCCCGGCAGAGAGGACACATTACCCATGTCACAAATTTAGTATAAGGAGGAAGGAAGAGGACGCAAACATAGTATAAGGGAGAAGGAGACACAAACATAGTATTAGGGAGAGGGAAGGAGACGCAAAGATAGTATAAGAGAGAAGGAGGAAACTGATTTATTGGCAAAAGGGGCGTCCCCGATAGAGACAAAAATCAGGAGTGCCTTAGTGGCAGGTTCGAGCTGCAGAGATTGGTCGTCACCAAATCCTGACAGTCAAAGCTCTCGTCCTGGACGGACCAGGAACCGTGGGAGACCTTGACCAAGGCTTTTCGGGACCCCTCCTGGAGAAGCCGGATACTCCCAGGGCCAGAAAGAAGGGAGAGAGAGAGACAGGGGAAGAGAGAGGAAGGGGAGGGTAAGCATCTCTCTGGCGGCTGAGTCTTGAAGGTGAGGACTAGGACTTTATGAGTCACCAAAACCATGAAGGTCTGGGTGGGGTGTGGTGTTCAGTTTTTTTGTTTTGTGTTCCTGGAGGTTACACAGTCCTCTGAGGGAGACCTACAAAGCCTATGCTGGGAGACTATCAGCTGGGAAGGGAAGGGAATAATTTTGAACCCAGGAGTCTATTCTGCCCGAGGAAGGAGTCCCTGAGGGCCACTGTGGCCTTAAAGGCTGTGGTGGGGTGTTTTCCTCCCACGGGTGGGCAAAGAGGTTTGCGAAGGATCAACGGTCAAATCCTCCTGACACCACCATTGGGTTTAGGACTCCAGGAAGGGGAAACTCATCAATCGAAGGCCCGTGGTGGATGGAGTTCTGGGGTCGAGAAAATGGGTTCAGGCCGTCCCGTGAGTGGCACTTCCGAAGGAAGAGGGACCCAAAAGTGGGCTTTAACCCTCTCCTGGGTTTTCGGCACCAATGAAAGGAAAGTGACCATAACACTCAGAGCAACCAAGAGATATTTATTACAACAGTGAACAGGAGAGAAAAGAGAGAAAGAGGGGAGAGAGAGAGAGAGAGAGAGAGAGAGAGAGAGAGAGATTGAGCAAGAGAGATAGCAAGAGAGAGAGGGGCCCAGCAGGAGGGAGTTTTTATAGCCCAAATCTAATGGGGTCTCTGGGTCTGCAAGCTGCCTGTTGGCACAAGGGGAGTTACGTGTTCGGCCTGGAGCAGGGGGTTGAGTGTTCAGCCTTGAGCGGGGGCTGGGGCGTTTGGGCTTGAAGCAAACAGGTGATAAAGAGCCAGACAGAGGGTTTGAGAGGCCAGGTCACCCTGCAGCTAACTTTGTTTGGCCTGCCCTGCCGACAGCTTACTCAGCCTGTCCTGCACCTAACAGCTTGTAGGTGCCATCTGTGCGCTACATAGTGACCTGTCTGTGAATGTCCATGTCCTAATCTGTTCTTAAAAAGGTACCCACCAGACTGGATTAGGGCCCACCTGGAGAGCTTCAGCTTCCCTCTTTGAAGGCCCTGTCTTCAAATTCCATTGCATTCTGGGGGGCTGGAGGGGAGGGGAATTTGAGGAGACACCCACGGACCAGCTGAGGCAGTCCTTTATTTATAACCATCTAAAGACAGAATCTTGGTTTAGAGATGTTAAAGCACATGTTTCTTTACACTCATCAAAAATAAAAGTTATCTATAATCCATCCATTATTCTGGTGGGTCCAGAATAGGTCTGTAAATGAAGAAGACATGGCATCCCAGGTCCCTGAGGAACTGATTCCCAGAGAGCTTCATCAAAGGGCACATGCAGCCAGGCCAGGTGCCTGAGGAGAGCACAGCACCAGGGACTGGCACTGGCTTGAGGATTCCTCAGGACTCTAGCCCTCTGGACCTTCCTAAACCTGTGAGTCCTGACCCTGGTGAACGTCTGCGGCCTCCTCCATCTCTGACCATCTTCCCGGGAAGCAGCTGCTTGTGTCTCACAGGGGTGGGAGCTCCAGGTAGCAGAGTGCAGGTGGTTTCTTGAGCTTCCACCTTTATCTCCATGAAGGTTCAGAGAGTTTTCCAACCTTGTCAGAGAATGCTTTTAAAACATTTTAAATGTGTGTGTGTTTTTTAAGTACAATCATGCTATTAAGCTACATCCCAAAGTGGGCATCCCCTCCCCATCTCTATATTTTCTGTTTGGCTCAGTAGAAGCCACAAATGCATGCAGGTAGTGAGGGTCCCTGCTCTGTGGGTTTGGTGTTTCCCGTACTGTCTTAGGTTTGGGGATCAGGGCAATCTGTCCATGAGGAGGTGAGTTGGGACATGATTCCTCCTATCCAATTTTTCTGTAAGAGAAAAGAATGAAACTGATGTTATTTCTTCTTGAGATGTTTAGTAGAAATGACAGTGAACCTATCTGGGATTGGAGATTTTTTTCCCCCATGGGTTGTAACTGCTAAGTCAATTTCTTTGATGGTTACAGGATTATTCCAGTTCTCGTTATTCATCTTTAAAAAGAGTTTTGTAAATTTGAGAGTTTTGAGGAATGGTCCATTTCACTGTGTTGTTATTTGGTGTAGAGTTGTTTTAGCATTCCCTCCTCATCCTTTCCAGGTCTTGCTGGCTTAGGGAGAGAGCTTGGGTTTTAGCTGTCAAGAAGGACATCACCAGACCTATTTTTAAGGCTCAGTGGGAAGGAACTGAGACACACAGCACTTAGCCCTTACCCCCACCCACCCCTCTGCTTAGGCCTCGTGTCTGCTGGCTCCCAGCCCCAGCCCCACCCAGGCCTGCACCCTGCTCCTTCAATTTGTACCCTTGAGCACTGCTCCTGCAGCCCTGATGGTGGGGAGGATCTGCCCCACCATCGCCACCTGTGACCTGCTGGCTAGACAGCCATCACCCCTGGCCTCTGCGAGCCCTGCTTCTCCAAATAAGAGACTTCCTCACTGACGGTCACCTTGCACCAGGCCTGAGCTAACCCTTACGTTCCTTGTCACCTGGGGTCTTCCCAGTCTCAGGGGCTGTGCAACACGTATTGCCCCTAACTGATGTCTGAGCTGTGCTCAGGGCATTCGAAAGAGGCAGTCAGACCCCAGCTCTGCTCAGCTTCAACCCTGGGCTTCTGATTTCCATGAACTGTGGCCCTGATGGAGCTCTGGTAGGGAAAAATCTGGAAGAAGTTTGAAGGGCAGCTGGTGGGGCCAGCTGTGAGCTTTCCAGTCTTGGTTTCCATGGGAATGCCAGGGAGTACAGGATGTGTGTGCATCAGTGTTGGCGGGTGTGTGTATGGTTTGTGTGGGGTGTGGTGGACAGCTGGCCAGGGCTGTGCCTCCTGGGGACCTAGATGGCCTGGGGCACTCTGGCAGGGGGCTGGGCACCAGCTCAGGCCCTTCACCTCAGTAGGTAGGTGGAATGAGGTGTCAGCTTTCCCATGAGCACCCTGGAGGAGACATTCAGGAATCTGGACACTGCTGGTGTCTTTTGCAGCTAGTTGCTCCTTGCTCAGGTCCCCTGGAGGCCCTGGAGCTCCCTGCCTGTCTCCACCCCCTCTGCTGCCAACTTAGGTGCACTCTTTCCCTAAGGGCCAGGCAAGTTTCTCTCATCCTTAGTGTAAAGGGGTCCCCAAAGGTATGTCTACCCCTGGACTTGGGTGAGAATGCCACCTTGTTCTTGGCTCTCCTTGTGTGCAATGCCTGCCCAGACCTGTGGCAATTGTGTGTCCCCTGGAGAGTCTTGCCAGGTCTGCATGGGTCAGTGACGTGAAGTTTTAGAGGGATGGCTCTGGGGGCTCCCACTGTGTCCCTGTTCTCTTCAACCCTTGACAGGATTCCGTGGGGGCTTGTCCATGAGGCTGACCCATGCACAGGCTCTCAGTGGGGAGGTGCCACTCCTCTGCCCACTGTTTTGTTCCTGAGCCCAGGCTGACCCTGGACTCCTGCTCATCCACACTTTATTTACTGGGAATTTTCTGCACGTCCAAGAGATTTTACATGTGTTTGCATGTCTAAAGCAATCTAAACCTGATGAGGAAAATAGGTTCTCAGTGGGAGCTGGTGCTCAGTTTCCTCAGAGGCTGCTGTAGAACCACCCCATGGGGAGGACTCAACACCCAATGCACACTGGCTTACGTGAGGAGCCAGACAGCGTGGCAGGTATGTTGGGCTGTCCCTTGGGCTCAGCAGGAACCCGCCACCCCAGCATGTTGCCAAGTCTTTCCCTGCTGCCCTTCTGTTTGGCCTACAGCCCAGTTGCACTAGAATAGTGCAACAGGTTGCTGAGGGGCCCAATATCCACAGATGGTGTGAAAGACATCAGTGAATTTTTTATTTTGGTATCAGGAATTGAACCCAGGGGTGTTTTACCACTGAGCCACATTCTCAAACCCTTTTTTAATATTTTATTTAGATATAGGGCCTTGCTAAGTTGCTGAGGCTGGCGTTTAACTTATGATCCTCCTGCCAAGCCTGTGCCACCCTGCCCAACGACATCAGTACATTGAAAGCTTCTTGTGGGGAAGGCCCAGAGCAGCAGGCTAGACAGGGAGCACCCATCCTTCCCAGTGTACCTCCTGCGACTCCATCCCTTTCCATCCCTTGTCTAATGGCAGCTGGCTGGATGAGATAAACTTGTTATCCCCATGGTGGCCTCAACACTAGGCCAGTCACCCAGAGAGAGGTGTTTGCAGGTCAGGCCACAGCAGTAACATTATTAGAATGCTTCATCTGCTTTGATGTCTTCATGACCAGTGTCCAAAGAAGCAGCTGTCCTGGTGTGTGTGCAAGAAATCAGCTCCTACTGATGACACTAGTCTGCCCTATTTACCACGTGAGAGTCAGTGTCCCTTGGATGACATTTACCTGGACATTCTGGTCTGGGCTTAATGTGCTTGGGAATAGACCAGGGCATCTCAGGGACATGGTTTCTCTCCATTCTCCATTTCTTTAAGGACAGCACACCTCCCTCCTCTTCTCCATTGTTGGCCCCATTCTTTCATCTTGATCTGGAACTGGGGAAATGGAGCCCACAGGTCTGGCAGCCAGCCCCGCCTACCCTCTGTCAACTCCACTCTGGGAGCCTGGAGTCTGAGGGGCAAACTGGTACATGAAAGATGGGGGATGAGACGGGCTGCAGGAGGGTCACCCACTATGCCCTTCCTCTCAGTTGCCTCTTCAAGCCCATGTCCAGGGCCCTCTGCCCCACCCCTCAGCAGTCTCCAGGGCTGGGCTGAGGAAGGCAGGGTGTCAGGTGCAGACCATGCCCCCAGCTCCTCCCAAAGGCCCAAAGGCCTGGTAGCACACAAGGAGCTGCTGCATGAAGAAGGCAGATCTGAAGCCCTGCACTGGCTCTGAGCGCCTGCAGTGAGGTCTGGCTCCTGCTTGCTGTACACCTCCCTGCTCTGGCTGAGCTGCCTGAGCATCCCCAGCAAGTGGGTCCTGGACTTGCCCTCAGCCCAGGACATCTTGTCCTCAAACCACTGCTCTGTGACTCCAGCTCAGCTGACAAATGGTGAGAAGTGGAGGAGCATGTGCTGAACCCCGCTTGGCACAAGGACTCTGGGATCCAGAACCTGCAGCAGCATCAGATCAGGCACACGGCTGCCTCCAGGCTCATCTTGTGGCCCATGGAGATGTAGAGAGGCTTGTTGCTGAGGCTATGGCTCTTCAGGGCCTACAGCATGGAAAGGAGGTCAGAGCTGCAGGAACACATGCCCCCAGGTCCAGGCCAGCCACAGGGACTGGAGGCTCTGACGAGGTCTCCCAGCCCTTAGGCTCCTTCCTGGTGCCTGTCTCTGGGCAGGGTGGGTGAGTGCTGGCATCAGAGGGTCTGGGGTGCACACGTACAAGTGCATGCAGTGCCTCTGACCTGGCAGAGTAGGGTGAAGGCCCAGGCCAGTCGTCATTCCCAGGACACTTCTAGAACCTCCCGTCAGAGGATGCATCTCCCTCAGCCTGCAGGAGCTGAATCTGGAAAATGGGGAGAAAATTTGCAAAAATCTTTTCTTGGTGAAGGGCTGAGGCAAGCCTCTTCCTCTTTAAAACCCAATTACAAGCCGGGAAAGGGAAGGGACCTCTCCTGGATGATACTGTACCCAAGCAAAGCCATCTGCTCAGACAGCCCTGGGTGTGCCCAAGGCCCCCATCTGACCTGACAACAGGGGCTTTGAGATGGGCAGCAGCTCACCTGGGACCACAGAACTGGTAAGTAGAGGAGTGGGTCAGGGCACATAGGGCACACAGCAAAAACAAATTGCACTGGCCTCCAAGGCCAAGGACCTCTCTACCCTCAACTACTATGTTAGTTGGCTCTTTTGTCAACATGACCCAAATACCTGATGAGAACAAGGTAGAGGAAGAAAAGTTGCCTTTGGCTCCTAGCTTCAGAGGTTCTGTGGTTGGCTGAACGTTGCTCTGGGCCTGAGATGAGGCAGAAGTTGATAGGAGAAGAATGTAGCAAAGAAAAGCCTTTCACGTCACGGTGATGCAGAAACAGCACCAGGAGCCAGGGACATAATATACAGCCTCCAAGCACACCCCTGGTGACCCACCTCCTCCAACCCTACAGGATGTGCCTGCAGTTGCCACCCAATAATCCCGATTGGGCTACAGCGCGCAGACTGTAATCGCGCCCCTCCTGTGTCAGCACCTGGCCTTTTGGAGGACACCCATATTCAAACCCTAACAACGACTAACCGTGTCCTCTGCTTAATGCTCTTCTGGAGGTTCCTGGAACACTCCAAGTTGATTCTGCCTTTGCATCCGCTCTTCCACAGTCACTTACCTGGGTCAAAGTTGCACCTGCCCCCTCCTTCCCTGCCCCCTCCTCCTCTCTGGGCAGGAATTTTCACTGTGCTCCTGGCCTCTGAAGGCCATCCCTGCTGGGAGGCCTTGAGAGGGAGGCCGCTGGTGCCTCCGGGCCCCAGGCCTGAGGGGTGAGGCCTGGCTGGAAGACACGAAGAGGAAAGTCACTAGGACCAGGGACAAACAGTGGTGGAGTCCCACCTATTTACCTGACCTGCGGGGGCTGCCCAGTGTGGAGCGCGGAGGTCCACTGCGGGCCAAGGGGGCGGGGGAGAGCCGCCCAGTCCCTCCCCTTGGCGGCTCGGCTCCAGGGGAGCGG